AATGAATTTTTGTTTAAAGAAAAGTCTCGATTTTTCATTTATTCATTAATACGTAAATCATCCGTTCATGTATTATTAATGTGAGTTGAATACCATTCTATATGTAATTAGGTTTTAATAATAAAAAATTTTATTTAAAACAAATATAAAATTTAAATCAGTTTATTTAAAAACGTAAAAAGAAAATCCAGAAACGAGTTGGGTAACTTTCCCGGCCAAAAAAGGGTTAAAATTGTATGTGGCGCCATCTGTTAGTAGATTTTATTTTTTTAAGTTCCTATATTATTGAAGACGTAAGTCACAAATTCGTGATATTTGAACTAATGGCGTAACATTACTAATTGAAAACTCTACTGTTTATGTTATAACTTTGTGTCAGACAGCCATATATAATAGGAAAGAGCGACGTTTTGTTTACAAACAGACATATCCTTTCTATTGTAGTTTCAAGTAAACGTACTGTACAGTACGTATATATGACCAATAGAATTGTGTGATTATGTCACATGATCGCAAATGGCTGCTTTCAAAATAACGGCTGCACGATTACACAGCGATCCTCTTTATCTTCTCACCCGTCGACCTTTATCCACCAAAATTTAATAGCATCAATCCCCTAATACAAAAACCTCCCTGCAAAATTTCAGAAATTTTCGACAAAAAGCATCGGAATTATTAAGCTTCAAAGAGAGAAACAAAATCGTGCCCCCACCCCACACACTATTATTCATACATACAGAAAAAAACCCAAATTTTTTTTTTGCATTTTTCGACGTTTAAAAGTCACCTGAGACCAAAAATGTAAAAATCTTGGAGGGGGTCATTATTTGACCGATGGCCACTCTTTCTCTCTGTTAAGCTCATATATAACAAAGCCGGAAAAGTAAAAATCAACTGGTAGGTCTTCTAGTTTTCTGTGAAATGTATACTTGTATGTTATCAGATGATGACGTTATCCACTTTCATAATAATCTGTACAAGAAATTCCGATAAACAAAGGTAAGTTGGCACAATTTTTTCCTTCATTTCCACCGAAAAGATCTAGAAAACCCATAGTGGTAACGGGGGTTTTGAACGTATTGTGAGTAATTCATACAGAACACATTTGAATCATTTTACTGTAGGGAATTTTTAAAAATAATAATAATTTTAAAAAGATTCTGGTAACGAATTTATCCCTTAGTTTCGAAGATTACGATGTATATTTTTTAATTTATTATGGGTTTAAGGGCCTTTAGGGAACTTCACGCCAAAAACTGAGATTGTAACTCTAACCATATTTATTAGGAAGAACGTTGCCTTTTTGTAAAGTTCGTACTTCCTGCACTTACGTATAAAATTTAACAAATTTATTTTTAAAAAATCATTTAAATTTTCCAGAATTTTATAATAAAATTTACTTTAAAAAACTAAATAAATTTTAGCGAATTATTAAATTAATAAATTAACGAATACAATAAAATAAATGTGCAAAAAAATCGAGTAATTTTTTTCTAGAAAATAATCATAATTAATATAAAGTAAAAAAAAATAAAATAACATTTCCTAGAAAATATTTATTTATTCGAAAGATTCTCATTTCATCCTTAATGAAATACAAGTAATGTAATTTGCAATCTGAATTAATAAATAAAATAAAGTGCAGATATAAGTTTTTGATGTTCATGTTATTTTCTCTTTAGCTCTTAACGAGCTACAGATGTAAATATCCGAAGCCATTAAGCAATAATATTTGCTAAAGACACGCTGGATGACGTGTTTACTTTCAGGTTATTTATTACTCACGTAATAGATTTTTATGTTTTATGTAGTAACGTCACAATATAGGTTATAGTGTAGTAGATAGCGTAGAGAAGATCCTTATCTAAATTCTTACAAATTTATAGAATTTCTTTTTTTTGCTCTTCCGCATCATTTCATTGGAAACATCTCGAAGGGATGTTCGAAATCTGGTTGATGTTTCCACCTTATTTCGTAGATAAGGTTATCCGGAAATTTTTCCAAGTGTACTACTATCTTTCAAAACACTTTCCGCCAATTCCACTTGACTTTTTTTTTTATTCGTTCTTTTTTTTGGAATTCCTATGGGAAAAGTATTGCTTGTTTTATTTTACTTTTACTTTTTAACCATCACTTCAATCTATTTTTTTTCCTCTCTTCTTGCTCCTTTTCTTTTTATCTGTTACGATTTTCCATTAATTCTTTTACAAATCCAAAAATATGAACTTCTTTCTTTAAAAAAATGAATTGTATCAGTTTAAAAAATATATATATATATATATAAAAATTATTCTTGAAGTTGAGAAATTTTACGGATTACGAATTCTAAAAATGGAATTTAACGTATTAATTTTTATTTTTACAGATGGATTTTTTTTAGAAAATAATCAAAATTCCGTGCGAGTGAGGAAAATTTTCAAGAAAATATTTTAAAAAAATGGAAAAAAATCACGAATCTTTAAACATAAAACGAATTTTTTTAAAAAATAAAATAAACTTTAAATCGATGCAATTAATGAAATATTTTTTTAAAGAAAGTAAATTTGTGCAAATGACAAAGTTTTTTTAGAAAATAATCTGGAGTTTTTGCCAGTAAAACATTTTTTTAAAAGAAAATAAACTTAAATTTGCGCGTGTAAAAAACATTTTTTACAAAATAATCACCACGCATTTGTACACTTTAAAACTTTAAAATAATTTATTTAAAATGTTGAATTTAAAATTTTATAAAGAAAAAAAATATATTTAAAACAAATTATACGTAGAAAACAAATATTCAAATAAGAACTTCTGTATTCTTTTCACTCGAAGGCAATAATAATCGAATGGAAACAAAATATGTGGCTCTCGAGAATATGTTTTAAGAGTCGGATGCTTATAAATTTTAATAATTTTTTTTTTATGTTTTAAAATAAATTTTTAAATAATTTATTGATATAATTCTTTGGTAAAATGAGCGCATTGGGAGAAAATAATATTAGAAAAAAAAAATTATAGTAAATCTTTCTAACTTCATTCCTTATTTAAAGTATACGGAATATTCGCATTACTCTTTTAAAAAGTATTTTTTTTTTTTATTTCTAATTCTAAATAAATCAGGATACGACGTTACAATATATTTTTAAATATTAAGTTTCCATTTTTTATTTTGAAAAGGTATTTTTTTCAAGTGGATATATTACTGTAGCTTGTATGTTTGATTTTGAATTATTACGTATATTCATTAATAAATTACTGGTAAAAAATTACCGATTTACTTGGTGGAATAAGGGTAATTATGCAAAGTATTAATTAGCAACAAAGAATAAATACAATCAAAATTGCTATTAAAGAATAAGTGAATTCGAGTAAACTCTCAATTACTTAAAGGAGAGGGCACGATCGAGTAAATTCTCAATTACTAAAAGAATGGGCACAAGTGAATTAATTATTATCAAGAAACGATTAGTCAAGTAAAACTACGGGTATGATTACAATCGAGTAATCAAGTAATTTGACTGTACCATCAAGGAATGATTATAATCGAGCAAATTACTAATTACTATTATAGAATAAATCAAGTTAACTATTGATAAATATAAGTAATAATGGTGACAAAAGACTTATAATTTTTTAAAAAATAATTTTAAATTTATTTTTAATTAAATAAAGTTTTGATAAGAATATTTTATATTTTATTCACCAGATGGCAACATCGACACGACTAAATATTACTATATTCATCGGTTTCATTTCCATATTGTTACCTTTCATTTTCGGAAGTTTTGACGAATTTTTCGGCGCCATATTTCCTATTTTCTCGTTTCCACGTATCGGTTTTCTATAATATGTTAAAGAAAATTTATTCTTAATTTATTTTTAGTTTGAAAAACCCAACTTACAATTTCGGGCATGGGTTTCCACTTGTTAAACGGAATAAAATCAGCTGTAAATAATGAAAAATTAAGTCGTTTCCGTTGATTTTTTAAATGCTGGTACGCTAAATACTATAGAAAATAAGAGAATTTTTAATAAATTACTTTTATCCAAGTGGGTAGATGCGCGACAATGCTCATCAGCGAGCTTGCCCCTCATTGTATCCATACAATAACTGTTAAATTTGGGTAGAGCCGGATGATACGATTCACGCTTTACCCACGACAGCATTCTACGATTCATCCCCTCATCACACGTCTTACGAGTAGAAGTGCACTGTGTCGATTGATCTCTTACAAAAACGTCACGAGGACCCCTCAAAAAGTCGATCTTACCACGCTTAAGATTGTTACAATCCATTCCTACTGTTAAAACAATAATCGACAATACTATTGTTACGTATAATACTAGTAAATCCCACTAGGTGGCGACACCGTTTACGTATAATACATATAGAGAAAATACAGTATAAATTAATCACATAAATAACACTTAGAAAAATTTATCGATTGTGTTTTTCTTTAAACTTTTATTTTGTTTTTTTTTTTTAAGTGTTGTGTTATTGTTCTTTCAGGTCACGATTTTCTCAGTGTTGCCAAATAATAGGGTAAATGCTCATTTGCTGTCAACTGCAGTCATTGGATGAATGTTGTTGATGTAATGGCACGATTTTAATGACCTTATAAGGTCAGCGGAAGGTATCTTAAATTGAAGACGATTTATGAAATACGAGAGCAAAAATTTATTTATTCAAAATTTAAGATGTACATTTTGTTCTATTCGGTTTTTCGTACGAAAAAATTCGATTAATCCGAATTATTTGGCATATTTTATTGCCGAAAAGCATGCCATAAAAGTAAATTACGATTGCGAATGATCAAAGGTTTTAAAATATTTTTATTCATTCGCTTTGAAAAGTTTGAAGAATTTAGAATTGATTTTTTCTTTACATTCCATTCTATTTAAGAAAAAATATATATATATAAAAGAAGATCTTCCGGATAGAATTTTTATTTTAGTAAAGTATAATTTAATTTTTTTTTAAAGATTCTAACAAACGTAAGAGAAGCATTAAAAGAGGAAGGGAGGGAATAGTAAAGAAAAAAAAATGGCCACCCACTGAAGAAATTATTACATATGGCCACCTTGATGTTCCGCTTTTTTCTGATTTTACACATTTTTCTCTTTAAAAAAAAGGAAGAAAAGTAAATACAAAAGGATCTTGTTTCCCTGTTTTTATAATACATTACAAGGTAATTTATTCTATAAAGAAATTCGAGTCAATTACTTCTTTTTCTTCTTTTTCAGTATCCAAAAGAAGAAATCTGAATAACTCTATAGATAATTTTTTTTTCTTTTGTTTTCCACCAGCTAAAAATACAGATTTCAATTTTAAATCTTCCCTAATTTGTAATTGTAAAACGTTAAAAAATTAATTAATAAATCTGACATTTAGTAGGCGATAAGTAGAATAAAGAACTTTTAGACAATCGAATGAATTTGATAAATTGTTTAACGAGATATTTTTGATAGGGGATTAAAACTGAATTTTTTAAAGGGGTTTCCCCTGTTCGAAATCTTTTTATCTCTCATAACACGTTAACTTCACCTTTCTTCCTCTTGAATATTCTGAGTTTAACGTACTTTTGACACGGAGAATTGATGAAAAAGAGAAAAAATGTCTTCGAATAATGGTTGATCTTTAACAGTCGATGAACCAAAAGGCACGATTATCAACATTTGTATATCTGATCATCTTGCAATGTAACTAGTAATGCATAACGACTGATATTTTACACTCCATAAATTTTTATGAAGTAGGAAATAGAGAGAAAAAATAGCTAAATTTTATATCAAATATAGGCATAAATATATTTTTTTTTTCCAGCCGTTAAAATTCAAATGATCTTAAATTGAATGAAGAATGGATGATTTGCACGCTCAAGTTCATCGATAAAAAGAGATTACATTTACTAAATTTGTTATAAACGAATTGCGTGGAAATTTTCGTATAAAAAAAAAAGAATTTTCGTGGATATTTACATTTAAAAATTCGTTAAAACGGGGTTTGATTCACGAAAAAAAAGCGTTACTCTTACGAAGATTCGTTAATAACGGGAATTTAATTTGTTTTTTAAATTAATTAATTAGAAATAAATTGATTTCAAAATTAATTATATTTAAAATTATAAATAAATAATTGTAATTTAAAAAAAATAAATAAAAAAAAATGTATTTAGGAAGTGAATAAATTCGATTTGGTTGACATCAAATTTTGATAAATGGAATACGAACCAGTTTCATTTACTTATTCGAGCAAAGCATTTATTTTCAGGATGCGTGACAAGTTCGTGAGGGATCACGAAAGCCATTAAAAACAGAATATCACGATTCGGTGTTTGGTCAGGTGCAAAGTAACCTCTATCGCGTGCACGAGATATCAGTAAAGAAGTTTTGGGGATTCCCCGCTGCTAGAACTTGTTCTTTCTAAGATGGTTGCTTTCTTCACATAGTCTGTGACTCTGGCTGATTGACGGCGCTCCAAGTGGAATTTCATGGGGTCATTTACCTATCTTAAAAAGATATCGAGTCTGCTAGACAATGTCCACCGTATCTTTAACTGATATACAATTTTAATTTAATTTCCTCTCGGAAGTTTCTATTTTTTTTCTCTCGACTAAATCGAGCCTATTTTAAGGATTTTTATATAAAATTAACCCGCTTTCTTTTGTGATTTCCTTCTCCGTAAACGATGTTTTTCTAGTAAAGAATCGATAAAGAATTCGTTACGGTAAACTGACTTTTGGACCGCCCTGTCCATCTTAATTATCTTTAGTATATCCAGAGTTATACTCGAGTAACAAATTCGAAGAGGGATTCGCCTTTATCCTTCTAGCGGAATGATTTATCTGGAAATCAAGATAGAATCCATTTTAAATGATTTCCATTCAATTTACTGCTTTGAAAATTAATTAATGCAATAGAGGGATTGTAAATTATTTCAGGTATTTATCTAGAGATAGACATGACACAAACATGAGATGTTACGGGAGGTAAAGACGTACGATTCACTTCGTTTAAAGCTATTTATCCTTCCAATTTTTATAGTTTTATCAACGTTTATACAAGATGACATTTATGGGTTTTCTTTGTAGATAATCGAGAAGATAAACCGAATATCCTTTCGTGAGTAAACGTTAATAAACAATTGCAAATCACCCTATCGTTGTACTGCGCAAGAAGATTCTCGTACTTCGGGGTTTATGTAAGAATTTATTTATTTTTTTGAACAAGTTGAGAGATCCGTAGCTAAAATATTTTCTATGTCATTCACCTTTATATTTACCATTCGAGCTTCTGTATTCTTCGAGCATAGATCAAACATTAAAGAGGACATTCTTCTCTTTGTATAACTTGGCCATTCTTGGATACGTTTACAAAAATAACGAACAAAAGAAGTTATTAAAGCCTAGACTACCGTATCAGAAGAGCCGTTAGATACTTCATAATCCAATTACCAGCTTAGTCAAGATAAATGATGGGTACGTCAGATACTTGGTATGAAAACCAAGAACCAATCTGTTCCTCTTATCAAAATCTCTAAATGTCTAAATCGTGTTCCAGACAATTTTTTGTTCTATATTAAATTCGAGAATTCCTCTAAAGAAAATTATATACGACAGATAAATGTGCCCATTGTGTCTTTCTTTTTCTTTTTTCTCCCTCCCCTGGAAAAAAATGGTCCAAAAAACGCGCTTATTAATGCATGCAATGCGCCGATACCCGTGGATTTTTTAAGAGGATATTTTGTCATACATAGTTAAAACTTTTATTAATTGTACGGCAATTAATGGAAGAAATGATATTTTTTTTTAATCTTATGAAATTTTAGCATATTTCTAACACGCAGACACGTTTTAGATAAGATATAAAAAGTATAAAAAGTCTATTTATCGATTCCTGCAACTAATTATAAGACAGCTATGTTTGATTTTAAATCAATGTCATCCTTATTTTCCTGTGGATTTATTACCTGTCTTTATACTGTTTAGATATGATCTAAGATCTTGCTATGGGCATCAATACCTTCAATTATCAACTTACAGATGACTCTAAATTACCGAAAATCACTAACAATTGTTTTTGATTAATTATATAGGATACGTAAAAATATAATGATTAGTAAATTTCTTAATATGTAAATAGTGCAAGAATCCCCGGGGCAACTTAATGGATATTTTTTTTTTAAAGGTAACCTTATTTCGACCAGGTGTGATCAGTTCCATTTATAAAAGTTTTCTTTAAAAAGTCTTTTGTGTCATTTATATAAATAATTTCCTGTTATATGATTCGTGTTTAAGCAATCATTTTTTTCTCTATACCTATTTTTTTTTTATCTCGATTCATCCGTGTACAATACTAAGAGTTACATCTAGAAGGAAGATGTTGAATGAAGCCATTGTACGTGGACAATGGCGATTCATTTGTGTCATTAGTCAATGTCCATTTGGAAGAGGTATTCACCTCGCATTCGAGTAAAAATATATCCTATTTTTCTTTAAAAATCGTTAAAAATCTTCAGGTTTTTTTTCTTTACAACTTGAAACTATACAAATTTCTTGTATCCATATTTAAATGCTTACAAATCGAGAAGATAGAAATTCTAAAATTAGCAATAAAAATTCATGTTTTCATCTATCATTAGATCGTGACTTAAATTTCTTTAGACCTCCCACATTCTTATTCAATAATCCATTAGGCGTTGTCATAAATATAAACATTGAATACCTACCAAAGAATTGAAAGATGGGGGATTTCGTATAACACTTCAATGTAAAAATTGAAGCGTTAATCCAATTCACGAGCGAAAAATTCAATTCAAAAAATGAAATTCTTAACCGTTAAGACTGTAATTTAATATAAAACATAAAAATTAAATTATAAGAAATTTGAATATCTCATCTCTCCGGTCGTGAAATAACCAAAATGGCTTTCTAACATGGGCGTACATATTCATAACCCAACCATGTCTAGTCTAGTAGTATGAGTCTTGGAAACATCTACATCGTAATGCTTAGAATATATAATTAACTTTAATATAACAGGTTTTTAACAATAATAATTTCAAAATTTATGGCATTCTTATTAAAGAAATATTCCAAAAGGTTGGGCCAATCATTTTAAGGTATTACTCACGTATCCAATGACGAATACGAGGAATTAATAGGTGAAGAATTTAATTAATCAATGTATATTTATATCCAATAGATAAAGAAGAGTATACGGAACGAGAAAACAAAGTACTTATCTTAAAAACAATCATTTAAATATAACAAAAGTGGATTTATCTGTGACGTTACACTTCAGGCGTAAAGGAAGAAATACATTATCCTTGACATTTACCAACTTACCAAACGGA